TATTAATTAATAACTTATAAGCGTGTGCATCAATCCAAGACAGAGCATGGGTATCAACCGTGCTTTTAATAACAAGCACTCCAGTCCACACACAACTGCATCTGCTTGCTGGAACACGACGGCCATTGGAGGAATTGTTCCCCTTCTTTCCTAGTGGCTGCTATAAGCTCCCAGCGACACATACATCTGTTCTTTCCAAGGACTCTTTTGTAAACCTGGACCCTTATTTCCCTGACGGAAGGGGGTCTTAGGCTGGTGGTTTAATGCAAACCTGGACTCTTTTGTAAACCTGGACCCTTGCATTAAACCACCAGCACCCCAGGGGGTCTTAGGCCCCCTCTGACGCAAATGCATTTGCATTGGACCCGTGTGGCGCACCTACTATTCAGCCTCGGAGGCCATGTTAATGCATGCCTAAAAACTTGGTACGTGCTGGTGGTTTAAACTTTAAACCACCAGTACTTGGCCCAGTTTTGATGCCGAGCCGGGATATCCGGTACGGTGCGGTAAAACTGGGCGCACAGCCAAAAATGGTACGGTAAAACCCGTACGGTAAAACTGGGCGTGCAGCCAAAAACGGTACGGTGAAAGCGGTACGGTAAAACTGGGCGCGCAGCCAAAAACGGTACGATAAAACCGGTACAGGCGCGCAGCCAAAAACGTCGTACGTGGTTTACCGTACCCTGAACCGCCGGGGCGCCGCCGTTTCGTTGACAATGTCTTTTCGGCTGGCGCTTCCAGCCATGATTGCAGTCCAGTACCCTGGTGAAAACCGTTGGTGACGGCCTCGTTAACATGAAATGCCCACGGCGGATGGCTGGGTCAACTACTGGTGGTGGTTTAAACCACCAGAACCTTTCCGTACGTGAAAAAGAAATACGAGCCTTGTTGACAGCCGCAGCTTCCGGAAAGCACCGGCACGCCGTTGCGTTGGATACCCATCCAGGCAAAATGGGCCTTGCATGTGATGCTAAGCTTGCAGAAGGGGGAAAATCGAGTGAACCAACGCCCCGATACTCCCCAAGAGTCACTTTTTTTTTTTTTTTTAAAGAACATGTTTCCACCAGGCCAGCGGCACGGGTTGCGTGGAAAGAATTATATCCTCACGCCAGGCCAGCGGCACAGGGGTTGCGTGGAAGGAATTATATCCTCACGCCGGGCCAGGGGCACGGGTTGTGTGGAAAGAATTGTACCCTTATGCCAGGCCAGCGGCACAGGTTGCGTGGAAAGAATTAGATTGGATTCCTCAATTGAAATGAAATCAGGCTGGTGTATAGTCCCCACAGCTCTGGAAAAATAGCTGGGAAGGTTGGTGGAAATCAGGCTGGTGTATAGTCCCCACAGCTCTGGTAAAATAGCTGGGAAGGTTGGTGGTCGAGTAAGCTGTGGATTCAGGCAGCACATCCTCAGGCAGCACATCGCTATTCACATTAAGTTCTATCTACCCTTCCCGATAGGCGCGGCGGTATATTAGCATCTTCCCCCCAACACAGCGCACCCTCATCATGGCTGTACTGGACCGGAAAGATCGCTTCCATACATTCATTATCAGGGCGCGCTATGTTCGAGGGAAGACGGTAGTCACCACGGCTCTGGAAGAAAATAGCTTGGACAGTTGAGAAGCGGTTAATGGAAGGCCCAAATTTCGGCGAATTTTGGTGAAAGTTTCACCGAAACTGCCATATTTTCCAGAATTTTTACTTTTTTCTTGGTTTTTCTGTTTGCTTGATATGTATGTGCTTTAGGGTATATCTGTATTCAATTTCGCCGCATTTGGACCAGTAACGAAAAACTTAGCAAAAACATCAGGCTCTAGGAAAGATTTGGCGAACTACTCTGAATAGGGTTTTATAGTGCTCTTGTGTTTGTTTTTTTTGTTTTCTTTTTTCCTGTTTGGTTTTTTGTTGTTTGTATTATGAACGTGCATGGTTTGTTCACAAAATTTTCGACAACATTGCTTGTAGCGAGGCGGCGAAAAACCGCAAATTTTGGTGGTTTGAACCGCCAGTACATCGCCCCAGCCTTGCTTGAAAGAAAAACCTTGTCGCCTACGAGATGGCATCCGAAAAAGTCAGCAAAAAGGGTGACCGTCGATGAAAAAAAATCGGTGGCCTGTGTCGCTTTTTGGATGCTCACAGGCGCCCGCGGCCGATACCTGGATGCAGCCTCTCTGGAGATTTAGAAGGCTAAGCACCGTAGATAAAAATGAATCGGTGGCAGGCGGCCTACGAAAGGGCCCAGCAGCCGATACTAGCTGGCATGTACTGCCGCCGATAGCTGGACATTTCGGGAGAACACCGTCAGGCGGCGATACCACTCGCACCACGTTCCATCTAGTACCCCTTCATTTTAGGAGCTAAGAATGACGGCAAGCCCCTGCCTGCAGCCAAGTCCTGTATAGAAGGGGCCCATTTGTGAGACACGGGACCGTCTACCTCCCTCTCACAAGCACTCTCAAAAAAGGCACCCCTACTTCTGAGCCACTTTCTCTCCGAGTCGGCACAACGCACTACTTCCGAGCCACTTTCATTTTTTTCCCGCCACAACTTGAAAGCCCTACGGGCCTCCCTCCACTACTGTAGGTAGACATGTGCAACACGAGAGTGAATCTTCCGCTACAACATGTAAAGATACACCGCCATGATTTTTGTCTGTTATGCATGTCCACCCTGAGAGTAGTGCAGCGAGGCCCTATTTCCGACCCACCACTTTTCACCGACAGATATTTCCCTTGCAAACCAAAAACTTAACAGAACTTTCCCTTGCACACCGAACAACCAGCAGAGAGACTTTTCTCTTCTTTTTTTTTTATGTCAGTCGCTGGGACTGCAACTAAACAGTTTTGTCTCACCCCCTCTTTTGTTGTCCTCTTCACCGCCCCCGCCGCCGGTTTACCGGGCAGCTCTGTTTCACGATGTATATATGTATATAATTTATAAACAAACACGTGTGAAAAGGAAAGCCTAATTACATCACAATGATCACATAGCCTGCTACCGGATTAGATTACTGTCATGGCCCTACGGTACCCCACAAGTTACATTAATACCCCCGGTTCACCCCCTGTGCGCAAAAAATATGCTCAGCCGCTGAACCGGCCACCCCCTGGGCGCTGAAGCCCGACTGTTTGCCGAACTGTCCCACCCCCTGTGCGCAATAAATATGCTCAAGCATCAGCCCGCCGAGCCCGGTGTTTTTCTTTTCCTTCTCTGGCGGAGGCAGCCATTTCTTTCCGGTTGCCATGAGCCCCAAAAAGGCCTGAAATTTTTAGTGGTGATCACGAGTATCTTTTCTGCACCGCCGGGGCTGCGCACTGAACATGGCACAGGTGTACCGCGGCACGGCGTCCAGAAATGGAGGGGCTTGTTTACTACAGCAATAACAGGCCACTTATACCCCACATTCAGCCGTAACGCAGAACTGAGGGGGTGAAGAGAGGGGGGGAAAGGGGGGGGTTACCAGGTGAAGTAGGCCCATGAACGGGGGAGGAAATTCCCCACGATTCTAAAGGCAGCTTTTCTCTAAGTACCTGGGCGCTGGACGCCTGTTCCGGCAGGTGAGCCTCCCAAGCAATAGATTGGACGAAACGGTGAAATCTACTAGGGAGGGATGCTCTTATCACCGCACCTACTCGACTGAAGCTGTTTTTCCCCAAAAAAAAAAAAAAAGGGATGCTCTTATCACCGCACCTACTCGACTGAAGCTTTTTTCCCCCCCCAAAAAAAAAAAAAAAAAAAAAAAAAAAAAGGTTCTTCCGAAAGTTGTGACGGGTCAGACAATGCAAACCTCATCATTTGCTC